GGGAGGTAGAGCCCCCCTTGGGCCCGGTCACGGGCAACATGAAAGTTACAGTGCACCTTGACTCGGCTCAGAGTTTAGGGCTTAGGTTCAGGGTTTAGGGTTTAGGGTTTAGGGTTCAGGGTTTGGTTTAGGGTTTAGGGTTCAGGGTTTAGGGTTTAGGGTTTAGGGTTTAGTTTAGGATTTAGGGTTTAGGGTTTAGTGCGTGAGGCTTCTTTAGGGTTTTAGGGGTCTAGGGTTTTAGGGTTTAGGGGAATTATACTACGTTATCATCTACCATATTAGATCCAATTCTTGTATTAATTATGTCACAATATATTGGTGTTTCGTAGGTCGTACCACCACCTGTAGCAGCAGGAGACGTTGTAACGTAGTCATAGTCGTCGCCGCCGGCCACAGTGACCACGATCGACATTCGCGAAAATGGCAGCAACAACAAGAGTAACAACATTCAGTTGCAGTGCTAACCGAAAGTGACGATGTTGATGATGATCATGATGTTGATGCTGCTGATGCTGCTGCTGATAATGAAGATGCCGATGATTGTAATGATTCTTCTTCCCTAAACCCGAAACCCTAAAAATCCCACACCCTAAACCCTAAACCCTAAACCGGACCGTAGCGATGGATAAGTAACCCTAACTAAGGGTCCATGTACCCAAATAGTATATACTTTGGCCCCAGAGCACCTAAAAAGGGACTACCCTAAGGCCTAAGTATATACTATTTGGATACATGGACCCTGAGGGTTACCCATTAGGATCCGAAGACACTTTGTATGTTTGAACCACAGTCCTTTTTCCTACCCTAAACCCTAAACCCTAAACCCTAAATCTTAAAACCCTAAACCCTAAACCCTTAAGGGCTTTGGGTACATGGACCCTTCGGGTAAAGGCAGGTCCCGGTGTATCTCGTCATCCATTCAGTCCGGTGCCGTTTCACTGCGGTGAGCCGAAGACGCAATGTGGGAGTTTCAGAAAATTAGGGTACCTTATTTTGAGGTCCGTATAATAGGGATCCTATCATTTAGGGTACTATATTGGGGTCCCCTATTTTCGGAAACCCCCACATGGGCTAGCTAGCCAAGATTGGATACGGTTCACACGGCAAGCTAGTTGTCGTTCTCGTCGGCCATCCGCCATTTCCCGACCAGCGTGGGTCATGAAGACGCCGGCTTGAATCAGGATTCCTGTTTTGGGTCATGTTGCTTGAGTGACGCGGTCGTATTACAATTATAATAACTGTTTGGCAGTATTGTTCGGGTCTCATTATTCAGGGTCGGCTGGCACGGGTCTAATTGGAACTTCGGGGCCCGAAGCCATCAGACTTCGTTCTTGCGGATATGACCGGTACCATTGATGCGGTCATGTTGCTGCCGTGATATCGCGGGGCTGATGATGACGATGAGGATGCTGAGGGTAATCTTCATCTTCGCTGTCGCAGGCTTCAAGATGCGGAATCCATCTTCGCTGTCGGTAGCATAATCGCCACATACCACTCCAAGCATGGAGATCCAACCGTCGTCAGAGAGCTGAAGCCACGCGGGTATCGGCCTTGGGTGACGTCGTCAGATCAAGCCAAGACGAAGCTTTTGGGTTCCCGGCTCTCGCACAAAGGGTTTAGGCTTTAGGGTTTAGGGTTTAGGGCTCCAGATGTGAAGGTTTCAGTTCTGGTGAATGACCAGCTTATTGGCTCAGCATGTCTCTGATTCCACCCCCTTTCCCCCACTCCCCCCGCAACCTCGGCACAACTTCAGTGAAGCAGACTTCTTTTCCTACTATCTTGGCTCCTGTCTCGCAGGCTCTCTCAAGCGGCTATCCCGACAGCGCCATCAAGAAGGTTTTCGTCAGGCTTCCTGCCATGCCATTCTGTGCTCAATTATCATTATTGTTATTCCTATTCTTACCATTGTTGGTATTAATATTTCTATTATGGTAGTAGTATTATTGTTAGCATTACTATCACTATTAATCTCATTATTCTCCGTATGCCAGGCCGCACACTCCTGGCACTCCCGATGCTGATTGGAGAAGATGCCGCGATGCATGCCTGAATGCCACAAGTGGCCTGGCATGTTTGAACCCTGAACCCTAAACCCTAAACCCTAAACCCAAAACCCTAAACCCTAAACCCTTTGCGGCACGTGTGCTTTCGAAGAAGTTGCCAGCTTCAACTCCGAGGCTGGAGAGCGCTGTGCAATGGCGTGCAGCCCAGAATCAAAAGATCTATGTAGGCTGCAACATAACTGAGAGGGTGGGGTGAGGGAGTTTGAGCAAGACCCGTCGCAGACCGCAGACTTGAAGGCTTTGCCATGGAGAGCATGCCAGCCAATCTGCAGCATGGACAGATGGTGGAGGCTTCGTGCTGCAAGTGCTCGTGCCGGCTGCCGCAAGAGAAGCTCCAAGACACCGTGCTTCTGGCTGTGCAGGCAGACTTCACTTGCGCGCTATTCGGGCCGAGTGAATTCTCGAATCTTGGCAGGTTTAACAGTTTAGCACTTGTGCTGCCAATGTCAAAGACTGCCATTTTTGACGACAGTCTGGCGACATGCTTGTAGCGACTAAAGTGGACCTGCCGCACCGTACACCCGAAAACCCTTTCCCTGAAGCCTACAAATCGAAATCGCTAAGCATCCACCAAAGCCCCGCTGAAACATCCCAATTGAACCTCCGCCCTGTACCCTTATATGAGAACCTTGAACACCGTAACCCTGAGGCTAGCCTAAACCCAACACACATGTTTAAAAAGCATGGACATTCTTCTCATGCTCCTTCAAACAAGCCCTTCTAAGACCCTAAAACCCTTAAGCCAGAAACGCCAACCCTCTCAAGCTCTTAACCCGTTATCCCTCTAAGCCCCAGGCTCCTTTAGGCCCTTAAGCGAACTTTTTGGCTTCGAGGATGCCCGCAGGGTGGACGAGGCATGGCCGTTTCGAAGCCACAGTCGGCGGACTGGGCCAGGTGGTTTAGGGTTTAGGCTTTAGGTCCTAGGGGTGTAAACGGTTTAGGGTTTAGGGTCTAGCGGTGATAGAAAGAGTGTAGTCTTAAGGGTCCTTAAAACAGCGAGTACTGGCGTTCAGGGGCTTTGCAAACTCTTTACCAAGGCTTTATGAGAGTTATGTAGGATTTGGTTTAGAGGTTTTTTCAGGAGTTTGAGGCTTTGAGATTTTCGGGCTTAGCGTATCCGGTATACTTCCAAGACCTTGATCCTACCCCCAAGACTGCGCAACATGTACTATGATGGCTCTCTCCTTCATGACTCACCCTGGCCGGATGTGGAGAGGCATTCGAAGCAGGGGCAAAGGAGGAAAAGGACTTAGGTTTAGGGTTTAGGGCTCCGGGCTTGGAGGTTCAGTCCTCTGGAGTCTCGGATTCAGCTGCTGCGGCAAGCTGCAATCAGCACTCGTAGTGTCAAGAAGGGGTCAGGGGCTGCGATTCATGTAAAGGCCAAGTTGCACCCAAGAGACATTGGATTCAAGGCTCCTCGCCTTTGCTGGACGTGCGTGTGCACGAAGTGGTCGGTCGAGGGCAAATCGCCGAAAACTCTGAAACCATTCCAAACAGCTGTTTGCGTTTTGTTTCTCTCGACGTCGCATTACTGGACCTGTGTCAGGTTACCGACCCATTTGAACCACACCCTCGGCATCCCCGGAGTGAATCGAGGCGCCGAAGAAGCACTCAAGCGGAGTTCGTGGAGTGTTTCGTTTGTTCCTGGCCGGTAGGCTGCTCTGGAGCCGAGGTTCTTGCTTTGTTCGGAAGTTGCCTTTGCGACCGGACAGGCGCTGGATGAGCAGCTGAAGGGTCCTCCTTTAAGGTCAGTGCACAGAAGCGCCTGCACAGGAAAAGGATGACTGTTGCCGGGTCGCTGCATGTCTTCACCGACAGGATGAACTGTCATGGCACCCTGCAGCTGCTTAGTCTTGGATCACTTTGCCATCGCACGAACTTCTTTCCAGGTTGCTTCACAAGGGGCGTCTCCTCGTACTACTTGGAGCCGCTTGTCCTCATCAAGGCTTCCGTTCACTAACGGGCAACGGCGACGTCCAAGTCTTCAGACAGAGCAACCATCGTAAGAGGCCCTCAGAAGCTCCTCCCACCCTGCCCGAAGCCCGAAGCCTTGCACTCTACAACTAATTTTGCTAAATGTCTCGGGCCCGTCGGAAGTGTCGAAGGTTTCCCAACCTGGTGAACTTCGTGACGCAGCTCATAGGACCGCAGTTGTTACACGATTATAGGGGCCATAAGGGGATATACAACATTCGACAGGGGCTACACTGCCATAAGGGGCTGCCATAATTTCTATAAGGGCTACAAAGGCATACTACGACGCTATATGCTCAGACCCGATTTTTATGGAAGCTTGAAGCCGCTTTTCTGTTCTGCAGGGTATGTACCAGACATTCCATACGGTTGCCAAGGACAGACAGAAGCCAGGGCCAGCGACAGAATCAGAAATAGCAATAGCTGCAGGAGAGAGAAGGAACACGTGCCACTGCCTGCCTGCGTGTGGGTGTCGCACAGCACAAACAGCACCAAGCAGCCTTTTCTCTTGTGCTGATGACGCAGGAGTTATCGCGTTTGTTCGAATGGTGCGGAAAGCGAATGAAGCGGCTCCAATGGCCGTGGCATTCTCGGGCAAACCCGAGATTGTTTTGGCCACTTCGTCTGCCAAGATTCCACGATGAGTAGCGGTAGTAGTAGTCGTAGTAGTAGTAGTAGTAGTAGTAGTAGTAGTTGCTGTTGTTGTAGGCAACAGTACCAGTAGCAGGATCAGTGACAGGAGCAGCAGAAGCAGCAACATAGTAGTTGTAGTTGTAGTTGTAGTTGTACATGTAGTAGTAGTAGTAGTAGTAGTAGTAGTAGTAGTAGTAGGAGTAGTAGTAGTAGTAGTAGTAGTAGTAGTAGTAGTAGTCGCAGTAGTGGTAGTAGCAGCAGCAGTAGCAGTAGCCGTAGCAGTAGCAGTTGTAGTAGTAGTAGTCGTCGTCGTCGTCGTCCACAGGTCTTCTTTTGACGTCTGCAAAGACTCTGGAGTCTAGAGCTCTCTGTGCGCATCAGATTCAATCGTGATGTTTACTGGTTGCAGGGCATTGCCCGTGATCCTGCGAACCCAGCAGGCGCGGCTGAAGGGTCAGAGGCAGAACTAAGTCAGCAGCTGCTGCCAGAGCACGGCTGATCAGGATTCGACGACCGCGAGGCAGCATCCTGGCTGATAAAGTTAGCTCGGATGCAGACAACTCCCTCACTCTGAGTTTTTCTAGAGTCGAACAGCTTTCGACAAGGCATACCTTCAGTTCATCCGAAGCTGCTGGGCCCCCCGACTGAAATCCATGCGCTGCTGTAGAATGTTAGAGACGTCCACCTTCGCACGTTCTTCGCTTCTGCGGATTCTGTTACATGCACCTTTGAGTTGGCACTGCACATTCGCTCCGACTACACTCTCTTGACCCGGCTGTCTGTGCGTGACAGGATGTACATTCCCGGCATCGCCAACGAGACGCTGGCGCAAAGGACTTCTGGGAAGACATGGAGGCGCACCAGTAGAAGATCATAGAAGTGCCCTTCGAGCTGTCTTACGGCCAGTGTAGCAGTCCATGATTGCACAGGATGAATCAGCCGCATCTTCGGCAAAGGCTACAACCGGACTCACCCATCGAGAACCTGGGTCAAAAAGCTTCAGCATATATCGGGTGGTGACGCTCCTGCGTCGAAGACCAGAGACAGCATTGAAAGGCGGTCTGCTTTGCACAATTAATTAACTATATATATATATATACACACATATTCAATACAGTATAGTATAGTATAGTATAATATAATATAATATAATATGATATAATATAATATAATATAATATAATATAGTATAGTATAATAGAATAGAATAGAATAGAATAGAATAGAATATAATATAATATTGTTAGCGTTGCTCTTTATTGCCGCTGAGGACAATCTCAGTGTGGAGTCGCTCATCTAAAGAGGGGAGGAGGGGCCGGACGATGCATGTTGGCAGATTGCAAAGCTAAGGGCTGTGGAATGCCAAGACTATGACACCTACGACTTGGTCGATAGCTCTCGACAACACTGCCACCTGGCCATACTTGGAGGTTCATGGGACTTAGTAAGTACAGTTATAAGTACCTTAATGGGGGTTATAAGCAATTATAAGTATAGTTACCTTATTTATAACCGTAGTTACGAAGTCCCATGAACCTTTAAGTAAGGCGCGTGGCGCAGTTGGAATCGCATGTGACCGGCCGAACCGAGGCTATGTAGACAAGCGCTTGCTGGGAATGGCACCTGGAGAGAAGGTTGCAGCTGTCTGGAACGAACCTTGCTGCAGGGAAACCTTTGGCACTTCGGCGATTCCTTGAAATTGATTCAGGGTTTCTTGTCCTTGCAACAAGGATCCTACTGTCTAGGATCTTCATTAGGTGTCTCTCTTGGGTTGCACTGCCGTACTCACAATCATGCCCCAAATCGAGTTGCTGTCGGAGCCTCAAAGGAAACTCAACGTCACAGCTTGTGGAGCTTTCTCGTCTTCGCCCGGACCTGAGTTGCTGGGTGGTTGGTAGTTTTCAGGGGACACCACGGCATCAGAAACGTCAGTCTCCCTTTCTCCGACATCCCATCTCTTCTCCGCGATCCGAATCTCTTGAATCGGGGCCATGAGCTCAGGTGTTTCTGTATGGCTTCGGGATCGCCCTGTTAGAATGGCTACTTCCGGCATCTCGGATCCTGCGAAGAAGTCGGACCTAAGGGGAAATCCCGTGGTGCGTTTTGCAGTACCTCGGGAGCTCCTTTCAAAAGGGCACAAGGGCTCTCAAAAGCCCTTCCGAAGGTCCTTTGGAGACGATAAATAAAAACCATCTTCCTCTCGGCTCAATGGATCATGGTTTTGAAGAGTGCAGCTGACTTGCGGATCCCAGGACCTCATGCAAGCAAAGGCTGCGAGGCCTTTGAAGCTCGGGTAGAACTTGGGGACGGAAGGTCGCATAGGGATGCATAGAGCGTGCAAGAGCGGAGCTATACCCCTGCAGGGCTTTCCTGTACCTCGTCGTGCCTCGGACTCCTCGCCTGGTTGACTTGTTCTTGTGTGTGGGTATGCAGGTGCTGGTGTGTGGGAATGAGGGAAGTTCATACAGAAGTCGGAGTTGTTAAAAATAATACTGTTCTAAGTATGAGTTCCCCCACATTAGCTGAGGTTCCAGGCTCTCTGTTGGCCTATGTCTACTTCAAGCTCCGCTCAGAGCTGCAGTGTTTGTGCGTCCGAGCCTGAGAGATTGAAGGGCCGCATGGGCGTTCGCAGCTGTGAGCGAAACTGGTGAGGCGACTACCAACACTGGTCGAGTCATTCAGCTGTCCAGAACACCGCCCACCGGACTGGGTTTGTCTCGATCTTACCTCACGCAGAGTTCGCATGCAAAGTAGGGAAAGTCAAGCTTGGAAGTCATCGTGCAGAGTTCTGATGTTTCAGTATTTGCCCCCACTTCTTTGGCGGCACGGACCTCCGGCTGGACATGTTCGTTGTTGGAAAGGCTCGCTTGCGTCTGCCGCAGGGGAAGCCATAAATTGTTACCTATATTACTATATTATTTTGGGGGGGTTCCTTTATATAATAGTAGTATAATGGGCCCCAAACCCTATTCTAATTATTGAGGCACCTATAGTAGTGCTGCGTTCTGTTGTTGCTCTTTCTGCTTCGCGATCCTGTCTGCTTCTGCTGCTACTGCCGCGGCATGCCACGGCATCAGTACATCCGCGAGTGCAGTGATACCATCTGGCAGCCAGCAAGTCGAAGTGTGTAAGTTCGATGGTGACTTAGCCGCACATCGACTGCGCCATCAAGTAGTCAGTAGTCTTGCCAATGTCCGGCTTATCATCCCCCATCAAGTAGTCAGTAGTCTTGCCAATGTCCGGCTTATCATCCCCACGACCTGCACCTCCTCAAGCCAGCTCTTCCCCCTCATTTTCCTGAACCCTAGACCCTGACCTGGCCCTGCGCACAAATGGGAGTTTCTGGAAACAAGGGGTACCCTATTTTGGGGTCCTTATAATACGGGTCCTACTATTTAGGGGACTATATTAGGGTCCCCTATTTTTGGAAACCCCCAAATCTCTAATCCGTGATCTTCATTACCCTCGTCATGGAAGTACGAGCTGGCTCGTGACAGGCTGTGTATGTCCAATTGGATATGCCTCTGAAGCCAATCTGGGCCGATTGGATCCGGCAGCTTCTCCGCAATTCCCTCAAAGTTAGGGTATAAGTAAAGTTTAGAACTTATTAAAGTTTAGAACTTATTAGGGTATAAGTAAAGTTTAGAACATATTAGGGCATAAGTACAGTTTAGAACTTAGCGCTTTGGGGCTTAGGGTTCAGGCCCTACCACCGAATTGAGAGCCTTTGCTGTCTACACCAGAGCGGCCTTGACCTTCAGGGCCTGGCGCAGAGATCCCTGGCGAAGAGGAACCGTGTCTGTTCGAGGAGCTGCGGACCTAAACCCTAAACCCTCAACCCTAAACCCTGAACCGTGTCTGTTCGAGGAGCTGCGGAAAAAAAATCGAAGCGGAAAACCAGGGTTCAGGGCCTTTTTTAACTCGTGGAGGGCCCGAAGCCCGTGAATGCCTGAGCTAGATTGCTCGTTAGGCTCCCCGACAAGAAGACTCTTAGCACAGATGTAGCATGTAGTGTATATATAGTCTTCAGCTTGGCATAGTGCCACATAGGAGTACGGTATGGCACCAAAAGTCCCAGAGGAGAGCATGGTCTGCTCCAAGTCCGGCGCACGAACGGCGAGGCCGTGGTGGCGTACCGAGCCAGATGCTTACTCGTGGATTGTAGCGTTCTCTCTCTGTGTGTGTGTGTGTGCGTATACTTGTGGATAGGAAACTGTATGTACGTATCCATGTCTACATCTTCGTGTCTATGCGTGTGTCTGTGTGTGTAGTGTAGATAGCCACGCACGATAGATCCACGTACACGCACCGTTCAGGAATTACAGGGTATACTGCAATGCAGCGGTTGTGTCTGGCGGATCTAGGTTGAGGAGGCCTAAAATTGATGCACCCTGCGAAACCAGCGCAGCGCAAGATGACACAATGTAACGTAATGCAAACACAGCATGACGAAATATAATACCCTCAAGATATTGAACACCTTGTTGATACGGCATCTGTTGAAAAGGGGGTGAACAAGTATGTGTACGTGTACGAAATCTGTCGTGTGTATGTCTATGCACATGTGCATCTCCGTGTAAGTGATGTTGTGTGGTCCCCTAATCTTCTAGGATTCCATATTATGTACACAGATATTGCGTTCGTACCCCGGGGTATATATGAGATGGGCATGTATGTACACCGAATGGTATTATATCTTGGTGACGGCCGCATCTAGTACGTTGTAGCTCACTGCAACATAATATCGTCCGTTGTTTTCTGTGCGAGTTGCCACTCAGGCACTGAGCGAGATGATCGAGGCGAAAAAGACGCAGGGCCTTCGAGCACCTCGTCCCTAAACCCTAAACCCCTGGTCGTTCGCGGAACGCGTGTTCTGGGGTTCATTCATGTACAGAGTCTGGGGATCTTCAAGGAACTGGGGTGTGACGGTATATATGGTACAGATTATATTGTACAGTATCACGTATTTTCACATTAATGATCTGCCATGATTTCATATTATGGTGATATACCATCCTTTCATATGATGATACACCACTGTTCACACGATACAGGACCAAATGTTCATATGGTATTATGCCATGTATCATGTGACTGTTGGATTTCTTGATGCCCCACTCCGAACCCGAAGCCGAGGCTTGCTGCTTGGGAACGGCTGAAATCTTCGGGATCACGGCGATCGACGACCTGCTTCTCCCGGATGAAGATCTCATCTGGGAGCGGAAGTTACGTTGAATGCAACTGCTCTGAGTTTGACTTCGAAATCGTCATACTGTGCATGTAACAGAAGGGCAGATCAGGACAGAACACATATGCATAGAGATACATGTGTTCACACATGTATATGCGGAGTGGTGCGTGTAGTATTACAGTGTAGTATTACACATTAAACGCTATGCGGCGAAGCGACTGTCCACAAGTGTTGATTCTCTTTCGCCTGCTCAGGTTGAATTGCGTCGGCCATTTCACGGACCCTTTCGACTACACCTCATTGCTCGCTGGCAGCAATACTAGTTACTAGTCTCTCCAAGCTATCCTTCAGCCTAGTGGCATCTCGAGGGGTTCGTTAAAAGTGCCGTGCGCAATAGTCGGTCAGACGTCCCTCTTCTACTCAGCTGTCGCTGCGGCATTTTGTCTGCTCCTGCCGAAGCCATGCTCGGTCACTGCTACCACCGCTACCCCACTATCCGCCACTACTTACGCCGCTACGACGATGACGACAACGACGACTACTTCTACTTCTACTGCCACTGCCACCACCCTGCCCCCGCCACTGCAGCTGCTACTGCTAGCACCGGCAACAAGGCACCGGCATACGACAATCATAATTCGATGTCATCACTATGGGTCGTGAGCATCATCTCGATCTTCATCACCCGCCATGGCCTCCGCGATCATCATGAACATGGTTGTCCTACTCATCATGCCCGTCCCCATGCCAGTCCAAAATCCCCACATGATCCTCAGCATCTTTGTAAGAGTGCTGATCTCGTTCCTGCCCCCGAGGATGGTGATCACTGACTCCAGACTGCATGTCGCCCGCGCTCGGTGTCCGAAGCCATTGAGTCTGCGTGGACTTCTTCTAGGTGCGGCTCAGTTGGGTGAGCAACAACAGATGCCTAAGCCTACGCACTTTCGGCCTGCTCGTTTGAGAGCTCGCCCCAGTTAGCCCGGACGGCCACGCGCATCCTGGTTCTTGCTCAGAGCTCACTTAGTGCAGCTCCTCTGACTCGAGCCTCTGACAGGCCCACTGACCTTCGGATTTCGATGTATGCACATCCAGGAGCGCCTCGATGTTTCCATGCCACGCGCGTGCTTGCATAAGTGAAGGGGAGAGAGAAAGGAGCGGCAGGCGGCGAAGTCATGTGAAAGTGGGTTCTTGTACCTGAAAGGGACCGCGGACACAACTCATTTTGCACGAGGAGTGGCTCGGCCACCACGCCGGTCTCACGATCTCGAGCCTGGCGCACAGCAGCCTGGAGTCCTATGCCCGGAACCCAGAAAGTGGGGCTATAGAACCCTTTGGAGCCCTATAGAACCATATAAACCCCTAAAGAACCCTATAACACCCTATAAAACCCAATAAAACCCCCTAAACCCTACAAAACCCTTTAAAAGTGTCGCTCTGAGATGGCCCGATGTATCGAGGGAAGAGCTGCCAAGGCCACGACGAGATCCAGGGCTCCTCCCTTCTGGCCTGGTCTGGGCCCACCCATCGATGGATTCGGCTTCGTGAGGGCCCAAAGTGGGTGTGCCTCGAACACAAATACCCTGAGCGCCCTGCTCACACCGCAGGTTTTTATGCCGAAGTTCACGCAGATTTATCCAGCAGTCAGAGCCACAGCTTCTCTCATGACTTGCAGCGGCGACAGGCTGTAATGACGGTTTGCGCATGTGCACTCTTATCTGCAATGACTGAGCTCCGAGCTTGCACAGAGGCGCTCTCTGTGTCTCAGAAGCCGACGCTCGGATGAACGTAGGGACTTCTGCTCCGAAGATGTCAGGAAAGGCTCGGATCAGGAGGGCTGCTATAAGGCTTGAGGGCTACCATGAGGGTTGCTATAAGGGCGAATCGGGCGACTATAGGAGCTATCAGAGGCTGAAGGTGCTCTGGGGCTGTTCCTGGATTGTCACCTCTGACGTTGTCCTTCGAGCACAGTAGCCCTGATAATCCTTATACTAGTCCTTGTTCAAGTAGCCCTTATGGTGACCTTAAGAGCAGACAGTTTTCAGGTATGGCCTCAAGGTCAAGGCCACCGTGCAAGATCCGGCCATACGCCTCTGCGCGCGCAGCGGATATTTGCGAGTGACTCTCAGCGGCAAAGTACTCAGAGTCATACTCATCATCATCACGGTCATCATCATCATCATCATCATGATCATAATCTTCAGCTTGCATGAAGGCAGAATTGACAGCCTTTTGCGAAGGAAGACCTCTGCGCAGCACTCCCTTCCGAAAGGCCAGGCCAGAGCAGCCAAGAGTGCACAGGCAAAGCTTGCACGATGCCTTGGCAGGGAGAACGCTGTGGGAGTCTTGCCACTGTCAGGTGCCAGAGTTGTGATGGTGGAAGACGCCTCCGGGGAGGAGATAGAACTGGATGATGAGTGTTCCGCTGCTGCTACATTCTCGAACTCTCAGTGAACAGAAACTGCTCCTAGCCCGGCGGCCCAACGGGGCGCATGCAACTCTTTCAGGTTGGTCGGCACCAGAGGGCTGCCTCCTCGAAGAAGGATCGCGTATTACCCTCGAAGCCGCAGGAAGCTTAAGAGCGGGCAGCTGGGGCTGTGGCAAGATGCGCGATGCACAGCCAAGTGAGCTAAGGTCGATCACCAGTGGTCCACCGTCTCGGATGAGCCATGGGTGCTGCTGGCTCTGCTTCTGGTTTTATGAGCAGAAGTACCAGTGCAGGATTGCAGAAGCAACTTTTGACTTGCTGCCAGCACCCTAAACCATAAACCCTAAACCCTAAGCCCTAAACCCTAAACCCTAAACCCTAGTCTGTGCAGACCTGAAGTCTCCCAAAAACCTGCCAGGTCTCGCAGCTGAGAGCGATCATGGTGGGCGCCTTAGTCTTCTCCTTCGTACTGTTGATGGACAAAATCCTGCATGACCCTATATACCTAAACTATGGGATTTATGGCACTATACTATATTTGGGTATACTATTTTGGGGCTCCTTATTCGAATTATAGTATACTGGCCCCAAAACCCTTTTCTATACTATTTTGGGGGCTCCTTATTCGAATTATGGTATAATGGGCCCCCAAAATAGTTACCTATACTATTTTGGGGGCTCCTTATTCGAATTGTAGTATAAGGGGCCCCAAAACCCTTTTCGAATTATTAAGGCCCCTACATTAAGACTTGGGCGCTCCGGCATTGCAGGATCGACCCCATAGCTCCTTCACGACCTTGCTGCAATCGGGGTAGAGTGTAACCTGTGGTAATTGGTGATAGCCGTAGCAGCAGCTGTAGCCGTAGCAGTAGCCGTAATTTTAGGAGGAGGACTAGCAATAGGAGGATTAGCAATAAGACCAATACCCGTGGCAGGAGCTGTACCAGAGACGGTCAGCATGCCACGTAGTTGCATGAGCAGTCTCCCAGTCCCTGCATGAAGAAGGAGACCGAGTGATTGGTGATCGCTGTATGTTCTGCTGTATGTACTGGCGGCAAGATGTTGTGAACAGCGAACGAAAGATAATGGACCAGGGGTTTGACCAAGAGTTCAATGCAATCGCTGAGGACATTATTCTGGGCAAGGGTGCAGAGATCACAGGCCGGAACCCAGAACTATTCTGCGAGGGCCCCCGAGTTTACCGTTGTAGCTACGGTTTCGCTTATTACACTTTACTACTTGATACGCAAAAATATCATTATATTTAATGGCTGCCGCCAATGC